CTTGTAAGCAATTTTTGATTTAAGCCTTTATTTTTACGTAAATAAATTGTAAATATGACGATTTCTTGCATAGTTTACTCTTTAAATTTAAACAATTAGAAACCAATTTTGAAAAAACTGTTACAAGACAGCAGTAGGAAAACACTTTGTCTTTCGATTGTTTTTTTATTTGGGCCGCTATGTTTATTCGTTTTCCAAATATGTGTTATGGGCCGAACGCTTAAAATGGGTTTATTTCAAGCGCGTGACGGACTCTTAAAACTGATCCGGAGATTAGACTGTGGCTAATTGGAAGAAATAAGCCCGCAAGTACGCTATATAGTCACAGTCTAACCGTCCAACTTTTTCAACTACCAACATTCAAAATACTGTCGTTTTTTCACTTTCTAATCTGACTTAAAAAAAATATTTTACGCTTACTGCCTGGTATACATCACAAGGCTGTTAGACCCGCTTTTCAGGCGCAGCTGGAAGTGATGAAGACAGCTCATGACCGACCAAATCATATGAATGATGTGTGCTGTGTTTATGTATTCTGGGTCCGCCCTGGCTATTATATCACTTATTATGGGCAGAGCTGTGGGGAAAATCACATTTTAAAAATAAATGTACTTACTTCACTGGATCACTGGTAAAACTAGAAAAAAGCACGAGCGACGCACACGCCAGCACACTCAAATGCAAAGGAATAATGGCGACCCTACAGAAAACAATTGACTGCCTACAGCATGGCATTCTTTTGTCGAATGGTTAACAGATTTTTACGATTTTTTCTAGATTTTTTGTGATTCACGATATCTTAATTTCTCAAAGTTAAATCACGAAAGACTGGACTTACCAAGCAGTCTCCTAACATGAAGCTCGTGCAAATCTGTGACGCTCTTCAGACAACACTTGTAAAGATTCTTAACGACTCTTTCGAATTCTGATAAAGGCATATAATCTGTTCTGGAATGGATAATAGTATGTCTGCCTATATGTTTCATACTCGCCTGGTGCATAAGTTGGGTCAATTCTGTGTCTGATATGCGAACTAAAATATTATTGTATAATTATCGATGAAAGTTTGAAAAACTGTATGAACATTGGAAGCCAAATATGTTATATGTAGGTTCTAGTATTTTTGTTAAACTTAGAGATACAAATTCTAACAGTAACGGTTCTATCACACTTTAGGGGTAGGTTTTGACTAATCGTATTGTTCTTCCAGTTGGGTGTAAAGTACATATTTTTCATAGAAACTTTGCATTACCATCAGAAAATTTGGCTACTTTCATATTATTTTTCCGTATAGAAAATTTGTTTTTTATTACACTAAAGTATTACAGACCCCTAATGTTTTGTACACCATCGTAGTTTTTCGTACCTGTTTCCAGCGTATCTCTAAGCGATATCTTATCTGCTTTTATATATTGATAAAGAATTTGTAGGAAAAAGTATTGGACTTACAGTTTAATTCAGAAATATTATGTTCATCGGAATCAGAGTTTGACATGTTTGCACTTTTCTGCTCTTTAGAATCATCTTCTGATATTGTGCAAGCCTCGGCTTCAACAGGGTGTTCAGTAGGTTGGGTACAAATATCTTGGTCTTCAGATTCGTCATCTAACTTTACAGCACCATCGCTTTCTGTTCTCGGCATATCTGGAGACTTTATCGCTTCCATAATGTTTTCTATATCCTTTTTGCTAAAAGTCGATTGTTTAGAAAATTTTTTCTGGGATCCTTTGGATTTTGTCGACATTTTTTTCATATATTCGCTTCTCTCTGTCATTCTTCTAATGTTTTCATACTCATCTTCCAGTGGATTATTGCGATCATCAACATCAGCACCTCGATCACTCATAGCATTTTCACTTACTACTATGGACATAGCTTTCCCCATTATTGTTTCTTCTGTCTGACTTTTTCCACTAAAATCTGAAATTTTCGATTTTACAGAACCTCTTCTCGATAAATCTTTAGATTTCACGGACATTCTCGTAGTGTCGCTTCTCTGTTCAGTTATTTTCCTGGCCTCTTCTGCTATATTGGACATATTTTTTTCTTTGCTTTCTGTCATTTGCATTACCTTACGCTCTATTGCTTTTATAATGTGTTCTTTCGAAGAACGCTTCTTTCCGATGCTACTGGATGGACCAGCTTTGTCGGAAATTCTAGAGCTTCTGGATTTATTCGACATTCTCTTCATGTACCTGCTCCTCTCCGCCATTCTCTTAAGGTACAGATCATAATCTTCTTCAGAATTATTAGACTTGTTCTTAGATAGTGGAACTTCAAGGTTTTCTTCAGATACTTTTTTTTCTCCTTCTCTTGGCTCATCGGCAAGTTGTGTCTCAGATTTCTGTTCGTCCATTTTCACAAATTGTTCTTCAGTGACAATAACTGTCTAAACAATGTATCTAGGAGAATATTTAAAAAGTGATGCGATTTTTAAGTACTGGATGTGGCACAGCTGGCTATGTGAAAGCATAAAACACACCACAAAAACTATATTTTTGTGTTTGAACGACGTAGTGAACGCAACGGGAAAAATAAAGTAGCATTTTCTCGTTCAAATTTTCAATATAATTAAACCATTTGACCTTGATGTTAAGGGTGTTGAAATTTTTAAAAATCTCTAAATATCTTCTCACCGAAGAGTAGTAACAGAAATCCCTTGTGACGCTTTAAGATGTCTGATGTACTTTTTGTCACTTTCCTTTAAACTAGCAACAATTGTAAAAGCTTTTAGATGAAGATAGTTTGTTTTTGTACATATGTACAAGGTGTTTTTGAAATCATTGTGGAAAAAATTCTAAAACAATTTGTTCCATAAATAAGTTTATGGGAAATGTTTTGTTAGTAATACAATTTTATATAAAATGTAATGTGTAATAACTTCAAAAAAATCAGTGTATTTCTAACAGAAAATTCCCAAACAGTTTGATAGTTATTTTCGATTTACTTGACTGTGTTGTAAACTCACTTTAATATAAAAAAATCAGATTTCTAAAAACCGTAGTTCTTCGAATAAAATGTAAGGAATGTATTTACTTTACGAAATTCTGAGGCTTCTACTGGTACTGACCCCTCATATCTCCATCACTGGTCGACATATACAAGGTATTCTCTAAAGATATGCAAATATTTAGGGTGTGAATCTACATCGAAAATTAATGGTACTTTGCTTTATAAACTACAGTCCAAAAATGTTCCGTTGCGAAAGTACGGGGTGTTAAAATTTTAGGAAAAAGAAAGAAATTAATACTTTCGAAATCGTTTGAGATATTTCAGCGATATTTAGTACGTAGTGATAGGTAATAAAAGCGCATGTTTTTCAATAAAAACATAATTTTTAGCTCTAATAGTGGCGTGCGTACGAGCACTGACTGATATTTTTAAAATGGTACTGCAATGGTTTTTTGCTTAAATAAAATTATTTTTAAAATCCCCGTTCAATCCGAAAGATAAGAGCTCTATTGATGCCATTGTCGATACAATGGGTTTTATTTTTTATTCAAAAACGGACAATTCCGTATAAACTTTTACATCAGCCACTCTCAGAAATATTTCGATGTGACACGTTTTTATTTTCGACATCCTATATCTCAAAATTTTAATAATTTATTCTATTACCTCTTTGAAGGAATGCACTTAATTCAGAACACCCTGTATATGTAGTAGTATAAAAAATGATTTTTTTCTGCTTCACAATCATTTTGTAAATGCCGTGAAATTTTATACAGGGTGTTAGAAGTTTAATTGCCTTATTTTAACACAATAAAATACATTAAAATAATCTTAAAAACCTTATTCATGGGACCTTTTCTGAGAAAAATTTTTTTCAAAATTTCCAACTTGATACAATATCATAAAATACAATGTTTATCACTTTTTTGAACTTCTTTATGCTTAATTCTACAAAATAATTAGCGTTTTAATAAATTTAAAGTTCGATACAGTTCATGTCGAGCAATGTGACAATGGCGCGGCGGTTTATTAACACGAGGTACCAAGATGTCCAGCAACCACCAATACGTAATTCAGTTGGTATCTGTAATGGAATTGTGTCTGAGTGTTTTTTGCGTATCACTATTTCCTTTTCTTGAGATGTTGGCCAGCAAGTGCATGAAAATTGAATTCGAAGGCGTCGTGCGTGCATCGAAATGGTGGTAGACATTTTGAGCAATGTTGTAACTTGTTTTGTATTTGTGCATTTAATTTTGCTTATTGGTTAAGTACCTAAATTATTTTTAATACGTTGATTATTTGGATGACTTGAATCTTTAGGTATTAATTACATATTTTTCGAATTCATAATTTGATTAAAAGCTAAGTTCTTGTTTTAAGAGATTCATAATCACTAAAATTCGAACTAAAATTTAAGCACGACACTATCTTCGTACTACAAAATCGATACATTTTATTTTATTTATTTAAAAACTACAAAACAATTGTCTTGAAATTTACTAAATGTTTCACAATAATAGCCGTTTACATTTCTTCCGTAGGACAAGTCTGCCGCGTGTACACGTGGTGTGCATCAGCAGGTCAAGCGCTGTTGTCACGTTGTGATGAAACTCCCCAATATTAATACTCGCTGTATTTAGAAAACATTTAATCTCACGCCACTGAAATATACAACCTTTTTATTCATTTCTTACACCCTGTATTTTTGGAAATGATCGTTTATCATTAATTTCTCATTATAGTTGCTCGTTACATCTGTTTTTCTGTTTTATATCGATTTAAATTATATCCCCTTAGGTTGTTAGGTTAGTCTATACACTTGGTACCTACTGCTGGTGTAGGTTGCTATGTGAGATATAACCTACAAATTATGTCATTGCTACTCAATGCCTACTATCACAAAACATTATTTTGTAGCTACTAACACAAGTGACCTACTGACTTGTAAGCAGGACTTATTTTGCACAAGGTGAAATAAACTTTTTAACTAAAGTTAGAAACTATTACAATGTTTCCCGTAAAACTATGGTGAAAATAAAACAAAACACGGCAGTGAAAAAATTTATTAACTCTTTGGCAACGCAACTGAAACATCTTCTTACACAGTTAATACATTTTTCTTTTTATACGAAAAATAAAAAAAATACAAACTCTTGCTTGTAACAGCAACATTATACATTTTACATGCACCTAAACGAAAATTGCACTTCATTTCGATTAAATAAACTCTTAATCTAAGCAGATACGCTCTATGATCAAATATCACAATGTAATACTTACAGCTTAAGTCACTAATCTGCAATTTTTGGAAGTATTGCATGTAAATCACATAATTTATTGCTAACATTTCCCTTTGTTTGACATTATGAACACAAAGCGAGAAATATATAATACACGAAGGATGCCGAGCTTAAGTACAATCTAAGTTTTATTGCTGTGGGTGGCTTTTGATTTGTATTTCTGACATACATCTTTATGATCCCCCCAGTCTTCCAACTGAAAAAAAAATATTATATGTAACTCGTAACCAATGGGAATCACCGGGAGATAAATGTAATTTGAAGAAAATATAAATATTAATGTCGGATAATTGAGAAAATAATATTGTAGGAAAGTTTTTCAAATATTATTGATACACGTATTCCGATTCATAAACGTACAAATCATTAATAGACCAAGCAAATTAAATTTTTACTCAAAAAAAGTCCTATCTGCGAGATTATTGTAAAATTGTCTAAAGGAACATAATACAAGACATCTCTCGTCTCGTGAGTCAAAAATTTCTCATAAAAATAGAAAAAATTTTAAATTTTAAATTGTATTATATTGCATTATATTTATTATTGAAAATGTTTGTGATTAATATTTTTTTAATTAATTTTAATTATGTTGCAAAAAATTTTTTGTTTAAACTTGGTAATAAATATAATAAAAAAGCTTTATATATTAAAATTTCAAGAAGTTAAAATTGTAATTTTATCGACCGCATTATTTTTATTATTTTTTAATTTTAAGAATTTTGTAATAAATTCAAATGCTTTTTATTCTTTTTTAAATCTTTTAACAATAAATAATAATTTGAAAATAATTTGTGAATTTTTACTTTAATTTTACATTTAAATCGTAATTAAATAGCTAACAAAATATTGAAAAAACAAGTTTACTTTGCCTTAATATGTAAAAGAAATAACTTTTTAAATGAACGATAGCTTCATTTATTTATTTAATAATAGTAAAATAATTCC